GCCCAAGAGGGAGGATTTGGGGACTAGGGGGTCCCAAGGGGGAGAATTGAGGAAAGGGGGAGCCCAAGAGGAAGGATTTGAGTGGGTGGGGGTCCCAAGGGGGAGAATTGAGGAAAGGGGGAGCCCAAGAGGAAGGATTTGGGTGGGTGGGGGTCCCAATGGGGGAAAATTGAGGAAAGGGGGAGCCCAAGAGGGAGGATTTGGGTGGGTGGGAGTCCCAAGGGGGAGAATTGAGGGAAGGGGGAGCCCAAGAGGGGGTGATTTAGGAGGGTGGGAGGCCCCAAAGGGGAGAATTGGGGGTGGGGGCTATGACTATGGGCCTGAAACCAGTCATCCCATTGGTGTTCCATGGGGTTTCCCAGTCCCTGGCTGGCTTCATTTATTTATTTTTGCACTGGCTCCAAAATGGGACTTTTGAATAAAACAGCTGTCTATGGAGAGTCTCGGGCATCCAGGACATAGTTGCCTTTCAGGACCTTTTCCCAACAGACTTTAACAGCTGTTTCCGTCTCCTACTGGGAATTATTGGGGGGGGGGGAACGGGGCAGGGCAGATGCTGAGGTTTCCCTGTAGTCTATTCTCCCAAGTCTTCCCGGCAAAACCGGGATCCAAACTGAGCTTCGGGAATCCTTGGGTAGGGTCCCTTTTTCAGGCTTTGGAAAGGAGACCCCGGATTCCTGATTTTGGGGGGGGGGAGTGGGTGGGCTTAAACCCTGCCTTAACAGGCCAAACTTGACTTTAGGCAGCTCCCTTTCGTTGGGAGAAGACTTTTTGGAGGCACAGAAGTTTTCACTTGCTTATTTTTGCTGTTGGCATTCGATCTAATAATAGCGCCACTTGCTTAGTGCCAGCGTTAAGCCATTTCCCCTTTCTATAAGGAAGTGGTGTGCTCAAAAAGCCAAGGTGTTTGGCATTCTTGGGGGTGGAGAACGTGGGTTGTGCCCTTGTTGAGGGCGGCAGGGGGGGGGGAGGGAATCTACGGAGGAAGCCGCAGCCAAGATGTAGGAAAACTCAAAGTTGGGTGCAGATCAACAGGTTTGTCTTTGGCCGTCCCACTTCGTTGTGGTTGTGTATCGGTTAAGAGATAGATGGGAAACGAACCACGATTTGCTTGTTGGTTAGGGGGTAGCTGCCGGGGGGAGGTGGGATGGACTTGACCCTAATTAAAGTGTGGGTTTTAGGGGATCGGTTTACAACCTTCCGGCTATTGTGGGAATAATGCGGTATTGTGGGAACAGGTGAAGCGAGGAAGGATGGCAGCTTCCCAATTTGACTTTCTAATCACGGAGGAATAAAAAAAGGACTTATTAAACTGAAAGATAAGGCCTGGCTTTTTGGGTTTCCCCAACCCTTTGGTTGAGTTGCTTTTGTCTCTGCATTTAGGGTGTAATCTCTTGCCCTGCAGAGGTGACTCATTTCTGAAAAGAAGACCGGGATCTCCTTAGGTGGTGCTCTTAGGCGTTAAAAAGGGCATCCTTGAACAGGTCAGCCATCTGGTGGCTCAAACCCCAGGGGAAGAGCTTGAACTCCATTGTTAAGTTTCATATTGTTCCCATGATAAATGTAGTTCATATCCCCTCTGCCCTGTTTCTGTGTACGGGGGACTCGAACATTTTCAGTGAAATCAGATCCCAGCTTCCGAGCTGCCCATCAGGCTGTCTCAACAATGACTAAATCCTAATTGTACTCTGAGTAAAACCCGTATCTAATTGTACAGAGGGTAGAACTGTGGAGTAAGTATTCCATGCTCCTTTTGCATAATTTGAAACTGGCTTCCAAGATTTTCCCCCTCCCTCCCTCTCTCTCTCTCTCTCTCTGATCAGAAATTCTGTTCCATATTGCCGGGGGTCTAAACTGCATTCCAGAATAATTTTGAACGGCTATTCCCCTCACTTCCTTGAGTGAGGAACTACTGAAGCATGAAAGGAAAAAAAGGCCTCCGATTTGTTAACAGATGAAAAGCAAGTTTCTGAATTTAGCAAACTGTATGCCTTGCTAATTAGTCCTACCCACACTTGCCAACTTGCGAACTTCGCACCTTATCCTGTTATTGTTGCACTTTTCTTTTAGCGATGATGTGAGATTGGGGGCTGCTTTAATCCTTTGAATAATTTTGCATCTGGGAACTTTTGTCTAGCTAAACCAGTCGAAGAAAGGGCTTTCTGTGTCTTTTGCAAATCTTTCCCGCTTTAGCTCTGTGGCCTTTTGTTGTCTGGAATTCATACAGTGAAAAGGGGTGGGGTGGGGGGGGGGAGAAGAGATCTTTAGTTTATTCCTTGGTAACCAGCTACTATAAAATCTAAAAAAGCCACCAGGAACAGCTGAGCTTCAAGTCTCAAAAGGCATTTTGTAAAACTCTAGAAATGCTCCCCATGCAGTGGCTTAAAAGCTGTGAAAGACTTTCAGATAATGCTTTCCTTGTATTCAAGGCTGCGAGGAAATAACTGCAACAGAATGAAACTAATATCCGTTTGTGGTTTTGCTAATTCAAGCAAAAAACGAAACCTTTAATAATAAGGGGCAGCCTAACCTCTTTTGCTCCTTTCACAGGCAGATGTCCTGATTTGATAAAACGAATCCTCGGTTTTGTGGGCGATATGCTTCTGTGGAGGGACATCTGGCAGGCTATATGAAATGTCAGTTTTATTGTATCGGTGACCTCCTGACCAGGTTCCCTTTCAAGGAGACCAATCAGGTGCAGTAGGTCCCAGTATTGACAGGCCTTGTGTTATGCTGCAAATAACTCTAATAAACCCTAACACTTATCTTGCTTTTAAAAATAATCTATATATATATAAAAGTGAAATACCACTCACGCATCATCACGAAATCTCCAGAACCGTAAAGCCTACAAACTTGAAATTTGACACGTATGTTTCTCTTGGCTTCTAGGTGCTTGCTAAGAAAGGTTTTTTTCGAAATGACCATTAGTATTTCTTATACAGCATTTATATATATAGATTAACACACTCTGATGCTAAGGAGTTAGACATTCTACTCCCCCTCCCCACCTGAAAAGAACTCTGTTCCAACTGCCAGTTGCCTCACATTCCGTTACCTCAGTTCAAACTGGCAGGCGTTCCACTCCTTCACTCAGGAGCGAGTCTGGGGCTCCTTACAGTACTAAACGTCGGTACCTCACCAAAATATCTACGCTTTCCACCTATGGAACCGCTTCCTGACTCAAGGCGGCGGGAGTGATATTCCCTTATATGTTCCTATCACCGACCGTCACTGAGCCAACGGATTGTGAACCAAATTTCTCCTGCATAGCCCAATCACATAGTTTCGCGTCGAACCACGGGTATCCAGCTATCCGACGATATAGAAAAGTACATTAAGTGGGAAATCAACTCTTCTTGACTGTGATGTCCTTTTAAGTTGTTTTGCTGTGTCAGAGTTACATTTTAAATGTTAACGGTCGCTGTGTGGAAGACCCAGAGGCAGAAATAACAATCTTGCGCATTTTATGCCTGTATTTCCCATTGTGTGTCTCAGATCTTGATCGCAATTGGGCCAGTGGTGTTCATTTAACACGATGCCTAGGCAAAGCCATTTGAGCAGGTCTGGATTCAGTCCGGAGGTGGCTTTGGTTCAGTAAACTCTGACTGCCATTACCCCCTTCTCTTCAATTGGCACAGTTACTACTTTCTTAAGTAATTGGCCTGTAATTAGAGACAAGAGTCTGGAATCAATTAATCACTGGGCTACGCTGCGTTAATTTTTCATGCTTTCAACATTTTAAAACTCTAGGATTACAAAGGAGAGGATTTGCTTACCCCTTGAAAGTAATTTTCCTCCACGGGTGGAAAGTGAAGAAACCGCTCTTGCTGTGAAAACTCAACTTTTAACACCCTTTTTGCTATCTATCCCTGAAATAAGTTATTGCTTTTCGTTTTGTTTTGTTTTTTGTGCCTGATAAACTTTTTTTCTTTGTTTTGGTGTTCTTCCTTTCCCCAATTCTTAGCGTTTTTTGCCGCTTAAATTAAGAAAATGATCTGTCAAAATAAATCAATCTCAGCCAAAGCTCTTAGAAATGCATTAGGGTAAAGGGAAAGATTTACTAGGTAAAGGTAAAGATTCCCCTCGCGCATATAGAGTCGTTCCTGACTCTAGGGGGCGGTGCTCATCTCCNGGCGGCATATAAGCTTATTAAATTACGAATTATTACAATGTCTTTTTCTTGAGGTAATCCAGCTTTCTTCTTCTTGGCAGATTCAGGAAGCTATTTATGGACATGTGCAGAATCACACGGTCCTGGTCATCGCCCATCGGCTGAGCACTGTGGAAAAGGCACACCACATCATTGTTCTCGACAAGGGCCGTGTGGTACAGCAAGGGACACATAAGCAGCTGATGGAAGAAGGCGGCCTTTATTGCAAGCTGGTGCAAAGACAGATTCTTGGCTGTGAAACAGGCACGGGGGACAGCTGTCCAGTGGATGGCGGCTTGGCTAACATCCAGAGAGGTTCTCCCAAGACAGGGTTGGCAGAAGAGGTAAAGAAGGGACCCCACATCTGCTGAACTTAGAGATGCTCAACTGGACCGCCCGGCTGTCAACTGATCCCAGAATCGAATGTTAACAAGGGTCCCCATCAAACCCCAGATGGGAGAGTTATCTTTCATAGGGCTTCCCGGTCTTCCTTATCTGAGGGTGGCTAATTAGAGATAGCTGTAGAAGAGAGAGAAAACCAGATGCGATTCTCTTAATGGGATGTGTCTTCTTCTTCCCATGGATACCTCTTGCAAACTTTGCTCTTGCCTATAAGTGGGCATGGTTTTTAGGGGCGTGCGCCGTATGGGAGAATAAGGATCTTTGACGGATCTCCACAAGGCATCAGCACCACGATGGGCCAGGATGGAAGCAACGTGCTTGGGATTGGCGTTGAAGCCAACCGGTTGACTTTGGGATCACGCTTGGTGCCTACAGATGTGCTTTGCGCTTCCGCGAAAGTCGAACTGAACCGCCAGATCTAACGCTCTTTCCACAGGGGGAGCTTGGCTCATCTGGAATGTAGAACATCTGGATGTGTACACGTTGTCGTCCAGGTCAATGGTCCTCCGTCGAAGTGTGGTACTCTCTACACCCTGGGATAGTCGCAAGCTGCGTTATGCATGAAGGTTTTCTTAACAAAACCAGCGCTGTTTCAGTTGGGGAGGGGTTATTTCCGATTGCTCTCAGAGGTAGCGGTAGCAGCATCCCCGATGGTATTGCAATAACATTTCCAGCCATAACAACAGAGAGAAGGCGAGGATGGCATCTGTGGTCTGCAGTGCATACCTGGATGGCAATAAAGGTGGAGAGAGAGCCTCGGTTAGAGGAAATGGGCAGTTTTATTGCAGTTTACATTTTTATCGCTGGTATGCACAATTGCGCACCACCTGGGTTGGGCACCTGAATATCCCAACTAGCAAGTCGGCTCTGTTTGCAAATTATTTATTTCTCTAGAACAAAGGTTTTTGTTCTCCTCCTCCTCCTTTTTTTATGCCTAAAATCAGTTTTAAAATAGGCCCATTCCGCCAGGAAACATTTCCTGCCCAATTTTATGTTCGGATATAGATTCCGCTAAACGTTGCAAATATTGAGGGTTACAGTTATTTTGTTGAGTTAATTAGTTCATCATTAAGCACCAGTTCTCCTGAATTATTTTGATGGGTTTTGTTGTGTTTAAACAAAGAAAAGGGGTGGGGGTGGGGGAAAACCTTTCCAAATCTAGCTGTGTAATCTGACCTGTTCTGATCTATGACTTTTGCAGCTGGATAAATATTAAGAGTTCTCAGCCAACTATGTGCTTTAAAAACAAAACAAAACTGTGAATTGAGATTGAACAATTACCCACAAACCCTTAATCTTAGCAATTTTGAAAAGGTAATTTGTTCTCTCTGGGTAGCCTTTCCAGTTGCACTCGGTTGTAAAAATGACTCATGCACTTTATCTCATTTTAATTACTTTCTGATATTTGGATGGGCAGATTTTTGTTGTTAGCAAAAAAAAAGAAGCGCGCGATATTTTAGCAATATTTTACAACTACTTCACTAAATTAAACAAAAAAAAAAGACTACCTCTGATATTCTACTTTTTGTGTGTGTGTCTTCAAGAATCTGTCCCAACTTTTATTGGTAGAGTCACCTCAAGAGAGATAGCAAATGTTTGTTTATTAACAACAACAAAGAATTTAGTCCTGTAATGTAATATTTGTTTATGCTCTGCTGGTGAAAAGAAAAACTTTTTTTTTCCCTGATAAAATTCTTCCCAACTTTGCTTTGCAAAGTAAAATTAATCTATTGCTTCCGTTACTCAAGGTGGCATGGCCAGAGGTCCATAATAATGCAAGTTATGGGCATTTCCTTGACTTTAAGCTGGCACCATCGTGAAATTTGTTTTTATGCTGGTTTCGAGAACCCAGTCCTCACCCAACTTTTTATGCCCCCTTACTCGAGGATTTGGTACTTTATGTGCAGCTTTTGTTCAAGGTTTGATTCATGTACAATTGCACCAACAGGAACACGGTTGGGCAATAAAGTTTGCTGCGTAAAACATACAAGGATTTATGAGAATTTGATCCGGCTGTGAGATGTTTTAATCAGTTGTCTCGAGAAGGTTGAAGGCTTCCTCAGAGGACAGGTAATCCTCGGACTTACAACCAAAATTGGGAGCAGAATTTCTGTTGCTAAACAAGGCAGTTGCTAAGGGAGTCCTGCCCAATTTAAAAGACCTTTTCGCCACAGTTGCTAAGCGAATGCATCTCCCATCATTAAGTGTATCCAGCTTCCTCCCATTGCTCATGTGTCACTTGCTAAGCCTCTGAATTTTGATCATATGCTGGAAGGATCATAAATCAGGGACCGGTTGTATTATCACTTTTTCAAGTGCCATTGTAATTTTGAACAGTTGCTAAACGAACAGTTGGGCGTCAAGGATTGCTCGCAGGCTTGCAAATTAAATTCTGCATGAACATTTCCAGTGGCAGATGACTATTGTCATACATTCATCTGGAAGGAGTTGGGTGTGCATCCTGAAAGCACAATTATAAATAAATCAGGTCAAACGTCTCCTCCTATTGCAGGAATTATTCAAAGAGGCTGGGTGCCAAGTCTTTGCAATTAACAAAATTAAATACTCATGACAGGTTTAAAAGTGAACCCTGGATGTTATGTACCTAGGCACTGACACACCTCGGCTTGAGGATTTCGTGTAGATCATAGGAAGGATTTCATACTGGAAGTGGGAAGTCGGGGAGAATGATGCAATTAAATTGTATTAATAATTGAGCAGCTCCAAATCTGATAGGGTAGTTGAACGCATTCCATTCACTGCAAATGTGTGACTTTATTAAAAAGGAGAAGTGGCCAGTCTCTGGACCTCAAATTCAAGATGATGATGTTTTATGTTCATCCCAAGAACAAAGTCTACTAAAATAATCCTTTAATCCTCAGGGTAGAGAGAGATTGCTCCAAGAAAGAAGAGTTTTCTTTCTTGCAGGGCTCAAATCTTCCTCCAGGAAGCTGGAAGAAATGTAGATTGGTTACCGAATTGTTTCAACAACAATGCTAAACTCTTGGGTTGTTTTCTTCCTATATTTAGATTGCACTAATTATAAAACCCTTAGGAAGAGGGAAAGGGATGGATTTTTCTTTGACCAGAAAAACGCCAAATTTCAAACCAGGAAATCCGTTCTGGGGAAGAAAAAAACAACCAGATCAGCTGGGCTATTGTTGACATGTCTGCATTGTTTTCATATTTAGCTTATCAAGGCTTCCCCAGCAAATGAGAAGACACACCTTCAGTTGTGCAATTAAATGGGTTACCATTTAAACCTTGCCCTTGAAGTTGTTTAGAAATTTTACCTTGGAAAGAGGGAAGACCACATCTGTACTTAAAGATGCAAATCTCTTATGATTTTTTTTAAAAGACATTTCCCTCTATGAGAATGCAGATGAATGCTCCAATTAGGAGACCTACAAATTGTAGCAAGAAAAATATATATCAATGTTTTCAAGCATTCTGATTATTATATTGGTTTTTTATGGGTGATCATCCACCGAATACATCTCTTTTTTTGTTTATTGCTTTATCTTAAAAGCCCATAAGTTAGCAAAATACATAAGGGCTATTTCTTCAAGATTCAAAAGATTTGCCTTAACAATTCCCTTGAGGATTCAGTTATGCAAGTTCAAAAATGGGGTTTAAGCCTTTGTATCAAAGGTAACTTCAAAAGCATACAACTTATGTATTAAACGTGAGCTCTAAACACTCATCTCAAGTTACACCAACTTTCCAATCATTAAGGGAAAAAATTGGGAAATAAAGCAGATAAATGAGCAGACGCAGATTTTTTTTATTTTTTAAATGGAGCCCCCATTAGTAAAATGCTGAAAAAAAGCCAACACATTTAATGTTTAGGAGCATATCAGTGCAATGGTCAACTAATTAAAAATAAAATAAAATGACTCGGTTCTCAAATCATTTCTGCAACTTCCAAATATAAACCATCCAATTGCAATTTTATTTATAAGGCCGATCTTCTGATTTTCCTGGAGGTGGAAAAAGCCTCGTTTTAACGTTGCTAATATTTGTGCAAAAATGTTGCATGCACAATGCTAAATGCTACGGTCATCCAGGCCAACGTCTGTTCTATGCATGTGTGCAATTTTAAAAAATAAACTGTGCATGGGTTTTTTTCTTTTGTTATATTTTTAAAAGAAGCATCAGCCAGAAAGATTTCACGCAAGGCAGTCAATGATCCAAGCAGACAATAGGAAGAGGGTGAAAATGGATTCAAGGCGGAAAGATTGATGCAGGGAATTGCTAATGCAAATTCGTCTTCTATTATATCAGGAATTATCAGTTCGATCCCAGCTGCCGTTTTTCCCCCACTGTTGGCGCTGGGATTAAATTAGTTTTCTGATTGCAAACTATCCATTTTCCTAGATGGATTTTTGTTGTTGTTGTTGGCAGAGGGGGGAAAAAAGAAAAAAAAATGCATTAGACTTTTCTTCCAGTTAGTTAATTCCCTCATTCATTGTCCAAGAATAAAGGTGTGATTTTCTTTTTCAAATTTGGCCCCCTTTTTTCAAGTGGGTCTTTTATTTTATTTTTATTTTAATTCTATAATCGTTATCTTACTTATTTAGCCACCTAGAATGGCTCCATGGCCAGCCAGACAGCAAATAAATTTAATTTTTTCTCCCCCAAAAAACGTGGTGCATCTGTGACTCGGGGCGGCTGAGAATAAAATAATGACTTCCTTATATTAATAGTGCTGTGAATAACTTTATTTACGCAATTTTATATTATATTTTTGCTGATAAAATAAATGGGAGACTAGCATAGATCTATTTTGAGCTACTTAGCTCTCATCAGCCAGCCATGCCCTTAATTCCATTAAGGTTAAAATTAACATAATTTTATTTATTTATAGTGCTGTGAATAACTTTATTNAACAAACAGTGAATGGCTTAATGCATTACAATAAGCTAAAGCGTAGAGCAGGGGTGTCCAGCCTTGGCAACTTTAAAAACTTGTGGACTTCCAACTCCCAGAATTCCCACCTTGGTTTCTCAAAAATGTCAGTGTACATTAGACAGTTTTTGTTTTTTTTAAAAAACACATTATAATAGATGAATCTGTGAGTGGGATTGTGTCTAATTTGAGCTAAATATAACATTTTTATTTATGTGCCCAAAATAAGAAAACTGGCGATCTGGAAAAAAAATAGAAAGCAGAGAGAGAGATATATACAATGAGTCCTAAGAAGAAAATATAATTAATTGAGTATAAAGAAGGGGTTCACCTGTGCCTTCGTTCATCTTAAATTTTAGCTGAGCAATTAATATAATATAAGATTGTGTCACAAGCCTGTTGGGAGTTAAAAGAGTTAAAAAAACAGTCATTCCCAGGATTAACAAACGAGGCTGCCCACATTGGTCCAGTGCCCTCTTTCCCACAATGACCGGCTTAAGAGTTTCCACTTAATGGCCAACATCTTTTCAAGCAGCTCCTCTGTCTATTTTTTGACGGTTTTAAACGGCCTCACATGACTCATCCTTACGTGGCTTTTAATATCTTGGGGGCTGGGGTTTGGGATAAAATGGAAGAATGTGATTCATTGCGGTACTCAGTGTTCTGTTTCTCGCGTCTGGAGGAGGGGGGAAGACGCCAATACAGGGGGGGGGGAACGCCAGGCACCAGCTGTCTTCCCAAGCCCCCCCCCCCCAGTCCTTATATCGCCTTTATAAAGGAATTGGTTCTTATGTCCTTGCTTTCCCTTCTCGTTCCCACCATTCATCTTAGATCGTAAACTCTTTTTTTTAAAAGTTGTGTCCCGAGAATTCTCGATTTGGAAAAGCCTCTTCCATCTCCGGCGGGCCGTTCTGTGCATGCTCTCTTCCCGAGCTCAATAAAGGGGCCTTTATCAGATCTGTATAATCGAGGAAGCCAGAAGGGGGGGAACAGTGGTCCCGCTGTTCGCTCCCGCTGAACGGCCATGTCACATCACACAATTTCCCTTTTGATCTACGGGGTTTCATTATGAGGTCTCGCAGGAGAGACGTTCGCCAAGCCAGCTTGTACGGCTTCCCCCCCAAAGCTCCTTGCTTCGCTTTCTCTTCTCCTCCATAAATTAAATGTATAAATCAGGGTGAGGGGCAGATGGGGGGGGGGAGTGACAGCTTGATTTACATTCTGGCTGTGTTTTCCCATCTGCTGGTTTCTTCTGAGCCAGGCAGGCAATCCGGATTGTGCGTGTCCCCCCCCCTTCCACTTTTCCTCCCGCTAATTAATATGAACACCAGAAAAAAGTGGTTGACTGCTGTGCTTCCCCACCAGAGAGAAATTCAGAAATTTCCCACCTCTGTAATTAATTTTCTGCCTAACCGTCTGCCTCTTTTTCTCTCTTGCAGGCCCAAAACATTCAGCTTAGCAAAGACATGACCCTCGCCAGTAACCACAGCCTAGCCGAGGGAAATCTCTTATACCAGCCGAAATTAGATGCCCTGAAAGCCACGTTAACCCAAAAGTATCAAGAGCTGCAGGTTCTCTTCGAAGCGTACCAGATAAAGAAAACCAAGTTAGGTAATGCTCGGGAGGAATGAACTCAATCCCCTTTTCCTTTCCAGAAGCGACTTGGAGTAGCTGGGATCTGCTGCAAATTGTTAGATGACATAAATATGTAGCAAAAGGATGGGTTTGATTCAGTCGCTTAAGGACGTACACAGCAGCGGTTAGTTAATCTGGAGATATTTAAATTTATCCACTCTTTCTATCTAAAGAGGAGCCTTCATTAAGATCGTTAGTGATTAAAACACGTTTTAATTCAGAACTAAAAGTAGTACAATAAAAACAAAACGTAACTTAGGGCCAGCCGATGTTTGGTAGCCTCAGTGGTCCGTGGTTTGCCTATGAAAAAGCTAAAACTTTTGTGTGAATAAACATTTGGGGAAATGAGATGTTGATAAGAATAGATACATCCTGCACGCTGGTGCGTCCAGTCCCTGGAGATGGCCACTCCGTTTGGAAGGCTGCCATGTTTCCTTGCCCAGCCCTCAAAAAAGCTCTGTGGAATATATTGTCTCGTAACAAAAACAGGGAGTCAGTGAAGAGTGGCAGAAGTTTCCAAGCAGCTGGTATTATTTCAGGACTCATCAACAAGACAGTAAGCATTTTGCCAAAGAGTTTAAACCCCCACATTGGTCCTATCCTACTTCGGCTCTCTAATCAATCGATCACAAACATTCCTCTCGCTCGGTATGTCTGTATGGAGAGGTGCGTTTGTGCTCTTTCTGTTCCTCTCGGCCTTCTGGTATACCGCCTAGCACAATTGCCATCGTGGGCCGTGTACAAAATATTTGCAAAGCAGGGAGTGGCCTTCGATGGAAAAAGAGTGAGGCGCGCCCCAAAGTCCATTAGGGAGTTTTGGGTTGGGTGGAATATTTGAATCAAGATATCCCAATTTTTTTTTTTTATAGAAAGTTTTTTTTATTTTTGTTACATAGACAACATAATCACATAACAATAGAAAAAGAAAGGCAGAGAGAAAAAAAGAGAAAAAAAAGACAAAAAAAGAGAAAAACAAAGCCCATCATCCCATGCAGTATGTCATTTGATTACAGGTGTTTTAACCTTTATCATTCTTATACATTCATTGTTTCATTTAATAGATTATAATTTCGTATCGTTTCTTATTCCCCTGCCTGTGGCAATCCATCCCTACTATGTTTCCCCCCCATACACACCCCATATCTCTCTATTATATATTTAATAGACACCACAATAACCTAGGATTAAAGAAAAAAAAGAAAAAAAAGAAAAAAAAGGGAAAAAGCACAACAACAACAAAAAGAGGAAAAAAAACAGAGAAAAAAAACCATCATCAAATACAGCATGCCGTTT